GGTGTCGAATAAATCTGTGTCGAATCGAGCGGTGTCGAATCGTACTGTGGTCAATAGAGTACCACCCCCCTCCTTTACCGGCAGAGGAGGGAAATCACTTTCTCCAACCGCCCCACTCATGTCGCCTAGGATGGGCCCCAACACGGACTTCCTCCTCTTCGGCGGCGTGACCGAGCCGATGGTGAAGACTGGTGTTCCACTACCGAACACCTTACCCTTCGCAGTCACTGATTCGCCCACGGCCCCTGCGGTGCAAGCTGTGGGTAGCCCGTCGTTGGATGACGACGGGAGGGAGTCCGGGACGATAACCTTCTCTCGCCAGGACCTGGGGATCCGACCCCTGGTCCGGTAGACCTTGCTTTTTCTTACTACTCATTTCTCTATAAAATATAAGTGGTGGTTTAATTTCGGAGGTTTCCTTCTCCTAGGCCGGTTTCCCACACAGGGCTGACAAGCTCGGCCTGCCCGGGTGTGCTCTTGGTCTGGCCACTCTCCGTGGACCTGTCCGGCAAGGGCAACCCTGCCAGGAACCGAAGGTCCCGCCGGCATAGCTACACAGATCAACACAAGTCACACTCTTTTGTTTTAACGCTGAGGAAATGCATTTACGCACATCCTGGTTTAGACTAATGTAGGCCAGGATAGTGTGGAACTTGCCCTCACCGACAAGTCGGAAGGAGAATACCCACAGCGGTGTCCACCTGCCGCCCTTTTGGGACTGCCCCGGTATCTCGTTAGAACAATCCGGGACAGTCCGTAAGAGCATGGGCTTGCGCCCCACTCCACTGTAGAAAGGAAAGTGGTCACCTTTTTTTTCTCTTATCTGCAATGGAGCGAGGGGACACACCTCAACTCCGCCGCCGTTGAAGAACCGCGTGCAATGAGAAAAAAACATTCCTTCTGCGGTTCCCGGGTCCAACACTACCCCTTCAATGGTGGACCCACCCACCACTAACAGCACTTCACTCACAAGAGGGAGGTCCGTTTTAGACCAACAAAAGAGGGCAACCGGTCTCAGCATGTCCGTTGTCCCCGTGTCCCCATACGGGAGGGAAGGGCGGGAAATTGGACTTGACTGAGACCGAGCCCGCAACACAAGGTAAAACGGCCTGGACCCCAACAAAAGGGAGGACAAGCACGGCCACCTTTATATCTGGTGCTTTCTGCACCAGGTATACGGAAGAGCTCCCACTAGAAGCCGCGTCTTCTCTCCTTCAAGAAGGAATAACTGTGGGCACGGTTATCCCCCGACCGATAGAGAAGCATAAAGCCCCACCTATTCGGTAGGAGGACTCCCAGGCCCTTCTCTGCGCAGAGGGGACACCCCTCTTTTTCCTGCAGCCGGCCGCTTTGTGTCCCAGCCGACCACAGTAATAACACTAATCGCTGCGGTTGACCTGGCTAGAGCACTGAGCCCTGCAGTGCCTTGGTTGAAAACACCTGTAGCACTGCAAGGGGCGGGGACGGAGTGCACGCACTCTCGCTACCCACCCCATCGGTAGCTTGCCCTCTTTAACCGCCTTGGCCGCCGCCTCTGAACAGCAAACCAAAGCGGTTCCATCCTTAGACGGGGAGTGACGCAGGGATACTACCCTTGCATCTTCTCCGTCACCAAACTCCCGCAAAAATTTCTCGCGCAATTCGTCCTCGGTGGTAAATTCGTCTAATCCCGAAACGAGGACTTCCACGTTTCGGGATGGGCGAGCCTTCTTGCCGCTCCCAGAAAGGGCCTTTCTAAGTTTAGATGCAAGGAGATCCGCCCTAGATTTGCGGTCTTCTTCCCCCACCTCCATCAGCAGGTGTCTGTCCATGGTTCGAACCCTTGAGACACCCGCCGATTTTGGGTCTATCTTACTCCTTGCGGCTCAAAGGATTTGGGCATATGACATGCTCTTTTCCTCGAGACGCAAGGTGACCGTTTCCGTTTTAGGGGGAACCACTCGCAGAGGTCGCAAACGAGACAAGGGGAGAGAGGGAGGAGGAGGGACCCACGGCCGGTCCCAACGGCCGTTTCCTTCCCTCGCATGGCCACCGCTAACTCTTTTTTTCTCCTTTTTCTTTTTCTTCTTTTTTTTCTTTTTTTCTTTTCTTCCCTCGCCTGCATTCCAGCAGGGGCAGATAAAGG